AAAAAAAAAAAAAAAAAAAAAAAAAAAAAATTGAATCTATTAACCTTCGTGAACTTGCTTCATTTCAATGTTTCTCTTCAATGTTTATCACGTGTATTAATAGCATTGTTTCCTTCATGTTTCCTACGGCTGCTTTTATTAAATTTTTCATGAAGTGTCAAGTGACCGATGTTTACGTAACATTCTTCTCTTCCTAGAACCTAACCGATTTTCGCTGGAAAAAAACTGATATACCTCGTGCCGGACATACGGGAGATCTGGTGACAAATAAAAAAGTTACCAGAAATGACCCGATGTTAAAGCATCGTTTTTTTTGTCTCGTTAGTATATTAAAACTAATAATAACCAATACAGCAACGTGTAAAGCGTACAAGAATTCATTCTATTCCCGCGCGCGCGCTGAATACATTCCATCCGAATTATTATTATCTTGCTAAACCTAGAACGGTCGATAGCTCCGCAGTCGTTGTGACTCAAAGTCGAGCCGAGTCGAACCGAGAAGAGTCGAATCAAACCGAACTAGAAGACTGTACTTTTGTAGCGCGTCAACGCGTAAAAAGGGCGAGTACGAGGTGATAGATCATACCAACGAAAAGAACTGTATTCTGCTTCTGTGACACTCTTTTGCTCGTCCCAATGCGTCCTTCTCTAATTACATCGACCGCCATACTGGAAGATATCCCCAAATCATCTTTAAATCATCTTTCTGGAAAGCAGAAAAAAAAAAGTACGAAACGTGTGGACTTCTATAAAATGAAATTACTGGCTTTATATTAAACACGAAATAAGTATACCACAGGCAAATCGATAGAGATCGAGAAGATTGCGCGATCAAAGACACAGATTTGTATCTTCGATCAAATTTGTCAGATTTGCTTTTACTAGTTCTCAGATTCGCTGTTTGAAGTTGTTATTTTAAACGCTACATATGTAGATAATATTTTTTAAACGCTACATATGTAGATATATATTTATTACTCTTACTTTTTAGTAACGATCTATAGATTATTTCGTCGACTTTTTAATCACGTTTGTAACGAGAATACGGCTGAAAATATGAAAATATGAAAACATTTGAAAATATGTCATTGTGTTTATTAAAGCAAGAGAATTTGATTTAAAATTTTCATTTAACACATTTTCAACGTCTAGAACATATGCAACACAGACAAACAATCGCACGTTATAATTTTGCACATATTGCGCAAATTCATTTCAAAATCTTCTGTCCGTTCGTTTGTATTTCTGTACGTATATAAATAATTTTTATGTATTCTAATAGATTCTATATATAGATATTCAATGTTATTTATACAATGCAGAAAAAGATCATAAACATCGTCAAAAAATGTAACGCTAAAAATTGTACAATCCAACATGGTACAGTAGATCATATGCAATAATATACATTTTAAATGAAATATAAAATTTGTGAAAATTTTCGCGCACAAGATGAACTATGAAAATAATGCAAATGCACGGCTATTTTTGCTTCTTTTTCAAATGCTAAAAATAGAATAAAAATAATTTTCCTTATGCATCTTAATTTTCTGATTTATCATGATTCATTGATATCTTTTATGTAACAAAGAGGGAGTCATAGTACACTCCTCACGTGTAGACGAGCAAAAGTGATTCATATTTTTTAAACCAATAAATGAATTTTTCAAGTTCTCAGTAATCTTTGTATTTAAATTTAGATTCTCGTTCTAGCATTTTTTTTTTTTTTTAATATACCAAGTTCAAATACAGTTGGACATTTTAGAAATTTTAACTTTTACGACTTAAATGTAAATATAAGGCGTAATACCTTCTCGCGCATGCGTGATATTTCTTTGTGAATTTTTAAAAATTACAATATACGTGTAAATTTTTGGAAAATAATTAAGCATTTGCACGTTAGATTTTTAGACAAATGTACCAACAAAATATTATTGAATATACTTCAGGGATGGTGGACATTTATAACATTGCATGAATTCGATAGCAGGATAAACAGCGATGTTGCATCATTTTTTTTCACAATGTTTGAAATATTTGAAATATTAAGCCACGTTTCTCTTGATATTCTGTGGAAAATTGATAACTTTGGAATAATACAAAAACTGGGAAAACATAGGCGAATGACTCACAAATATTATCATAGATATGAAAAAATAATACGGAAAAAAATAAGAAGCTTTAAATTTGTGTAATGTGTTTTCAATTTTCGTAAATTTTAACCTGAATCTTTCCCATTTAAAAAAATACAAATATTACGTACTTCGGACATGTATTTGCAACGAATGTTATTATCATCACATGGTATCGAGAAGAAAACCATCAAGGCGAAACGTAAATATGAAAAAAATATTTTAAATAGATATATAATTAAATTGAACAAATCAATTAAATATATATATATATATATATATATATATATATATAGTATGGAAAAAATGAACGAGTGATAATTGAGGTGAAAAAAAAAGTAATTGTAATTTAATGTAATTGTTTTATCTGACTCAATCGAATAGGAATTATCCATTAACAGTGAAATGCAAACAGCAAAACATAACGTGTGAATGATAAAATGTGCCAACGCAGAAGTGCAAGAAATTCAAGTTAAAATCATGTAGTATTACGATTTAAATATAAGCAAAGAAATCGCATGTTGCACCAGCAGATAACGAGAAAACCGAAGAATCCTTACTCTACTCTACTCTTTATATTTGTAAAAAAAATAAACATAATGGAATCTTAAACAAAATCGAAATTAAATTAAAGCCACGAACCGAAAATTCCTCTCTGCGCGGAAAGATCGAAGAATCCCGTTTAGAAAATCGTAAAAATCAAAACGGGATTTGACGAAATCGAGTTTTTCGAAAAGTTGAAATCACACAGTCGCGTGTTTTACGAACGGACAGAAAAAAAAA